AACCAATTATAGCATATAAAAAACACAGGAGTTTAGGAGATCTCCTAAAAAGTTCAAAACTTTAATAAAAGTTAGTAAAGCCTCACTTACTGGTCAATTACAATGTAATCAACTATATCATTTACTGACATATCTCAGTCAGAGACAGTTAACAAATTATCGCTTTCTTGCATATTCATTTACACAAACAACTTTCATCTGTGTTTATTATTTAAACATTACGTGACCTTGGGAAATTCCCTTACCGGTTCTACTATTTAAAAAGAACATACCGGTATATAATAAAACAAATAAAATGAATATACAATATTGATATATATAAGTGGATTCCTGATGATGGCGGACTTATATAACTAATTATAATTAGTATAGAATATCTATTTATATGCTTGGCCTGTTATCACACCGCCGAAACACTAAATTAGTGTCGGATCTAAGTGAAAACGGGGTTCGTGGCTTGATGGGAGTCACTTTTTTACTACAAATTTGACCCCTCAAAATTAAAAATATATTTTACAGTATTTCTTTTCTTCTGATCAGAGACATAAACAACAAATAAATATTAAAATAATGATTTATATTTCTGGTCTATTTAAAAGTAAATGACTGCTAATACCAGTGAATAACTGCAAAAGGCTAAATTGTCTTTTTTTCTAGATGCTGGCAGCATTTTTTAAACATTCTGTTGAATCTGTAGAGTGTAGAGTTCATGTACATGTATCTGCATGTAGAGCTACCTTGTATAATTTACATGAAAATCTGTAGTGCTGCTAACAAGACTTTTTCTTGGCTTTTGTAGAGTAAAACAGGAATGAAATATAGAAATACATTTATAATACGTACATTCACGCATTATCTTTTATCTGAAAACAAATCAGTTTGACACTGTCATCTTGCAAAATTAATTAATGTAATATATTGTATTGCAATTTGCAATTTCCATGTGCAAATCTGATCTACAGACTTTCATAGTAAAAGTAACAGTAAAATGACCTTTGCCAAGGAAACAAGGACCCCTCGTATGTTGGTAAGCATAGTAATATATCTGAAAGAATTGCCTTAAGAAAGTATCTTTTCATACCCCTCCCCCCCCCCCTCCCCCAAATCCTGAAATTGAAAAGGTTTTTCAGGTATTTTTATTTTTTTTCTTGCATGTCAAAATTTTTATGTTTGGCATCTGTTAAAATTAACTTGAAAAACCCCACCTCCATTCCATCCACCACAAAAAAATCTTTGACCCGCAACCTGAATTTCAATGAGTTTTTTTTTTTTTTAAATGTATTTATACAAATTAATGTTTCGCTTTCAGAACATTTTAAACTGTTAAATTTACATAATGATTAAAAAATCTGTGATTATAACATGTACATAGCTATACTGGGCATTTCAATAACAAATAAATATAGAGAAAATACATACATGTACCAGTTCGATAGGTGTCGGTCTTGATTGTCACTGTATCAGCTCTGCATTATTTGCTATTAAAATATTTGCATCAAATTAATATAATTGTTTCTGCATACTTCTGCAAAAAGGACAAATATTTGAAGATCGATGTAATGTGTGTGGCGATTTTTGGGATAATAAACAAAGAAAACAAATTCATTTGGATTTTACATGCATTTAGCTACCAGTTTAAGTTGTACACAGATGAATGGAGACAATTCGGATAAGGAAGAAAGTGATCGCTTTTAGAAATAAATATATATATATATTTTTAAAATTATATTACCTGATTTGTCATAAGGTTTTTGTTGTTGACAAGATTCCAAGCTTATGAATCTTTTTCCCTCTTGAAACATAAATTTTCCTTGAGTCAGTGCTCCAGAACATCCAAAGGTTGCCGACATTTTTTGTTTCTATCACAGAAGAGTTCCAAGGGAGGTAATTCATGACAATAAAAGATGGGAAAAGTACCCATCAGTATGATAAAAACCCTTTCAATTTAAGCCCACTTAAGAATGCTTCTCAATTTTAATTTTGATATAAACAGTATTAATATTCACCTTTTTGAGGATAGCATCAGATATTTATTTTCTTGTTGTAGATTTGAGAATTCAGTCACCGAAACAGGGTCAAAAATAGGCTAAGTGTATGTAGAAAAACTAATAGAAATTTAAAAGTTTTTGTTCACATGCAGACAAAATGTAAAAATACTAGTTTTTACGTCACCTGAGTCACTCAGGCGACCTATTGCTATCTCTTTTCGTCCGTCGTCGTTCGTAAACTTTTGAACATTTTCAGCTTCTTCTCTGGAACCAGTGAACCAATTTTGGCATATAGCATCTATGGGTGAAGGGGAACAAAAATTGTGAAATTCGTGGCCCCTGCCCCCCTGGGGCCTGGGGGGTGGGGCCAAAACCATCAAAATTAATGCAATAATCATTGAGCCCTCTACCAAAATTGTGAAATTCATGGCCCCAGGGTCAGGGGTTCTGGTGCTAGGGCGGGGCTATATAGAACATATAGTGAAAGTGCATTATTTCTTTGAAAATCTTCTTTTCTACTCCTAGGTATTATTGAAACATAGTTATGATAAGCAAGAGTGACTCTACCAAAATTGTGAAATTCATAGCCCCAGGGTCAGGGGTTCTGGTGTTAGGGCGGGGCTATATAGATCATATAGTGAAAGTGCATTATTTCTTTGGAAATCTTCTTCTCTACTCCTGGGTATTATTGAAACAAATTGAATACATAGTTATGATAAGCAAGAGTGACTCTACCAAAATTGTGAAATTCATGGCCTCTGGGTCAGGGGTTTTGGTGCTAGGGCGGGGCTCTTTTGATTATATAATGAAAATGCATTAATTCTTTGAAAATCTTCTTCTCTACTCCTGGGTATTAGTGAAAAAAATTGAATACATAGTTATGATAAGCAAGAGTGACTCTACCAAAATTGTGAAATTCATGGCCCCAGGGTCAGGGGTTCTGGTGTTAGGGCGGGGCTATATAGTTCATATAGTGAAAGTGCATTATTTCTTTGAAAATCTTCTTCTCTACTCCTGGGTATTATTGAAACAAATTGAATACATAGTTATGATAAGCAAGAGTAACTCTACCAAAATTGTGAAATTCATGGCCCCTGGGTCAGGGGTTCTGGTGCTAGGGCGGGGCTCTTTTGATTATATAATGAAAGTGCATTAATTCTTTGAAAATCTTCTTCTCTACTCCTGGGTATTATTGAAACAAATTGAATACATAGTTATGATAAGCAAGAGTAACTCTACCAAAATTGTGAAATTCATAGCCCCAGGGTCAGGGGTTCTGGTGTTAGGGCGGGGCTATATAGATCATATAGTGAAAGTGCATTATTTCTTTGAAAATCTTCTTCTCTACTCATTGGTATTATTTAAACAAATACATGGTTATGATAACCAAGGATGCCTTTTCCAAATTGTGAATTTCATGACCCCTGGATCAGAGGTTCTGATGTTAGGGCGGGACTCTATTTATTACACAGTGAAAATGCATTCATGCTTTAAAAATCTTCTCTGCACCTGGCCATATCAGAGGCAAAAACGGTAAAAGTTTTAATAAGGAAGGGTATTTTTACCAGATTTTTGAACATCAAAACCATTTGGTCAAGTGTTCTAGTCCAGGCCAGGGCTCTATTAATTTGTATTCTACTGAGAGGAGTTATTCCCCTTTGCCATTTACTTGTGATAATTAATCACTGTAAATAATGTACTTGATAGGTTAATAGAATAAGAGAATTATGCAAGAATTTTTATTGTATAATACAAAAAGTACTTTCATAGTTTTAATGATCAGGTAGACTTGTCTTATTAAGGTTTTTCATCCCTAATAGGAACTAATTCTCTATCCTTAAATATCAATCACGTATATAATACTCTGATATTAATTCAAAGAACTTTACAGTAGAAAAGGATTTACCAAGTGAAAGTTTCAAAAACCTAATTAACTAAGCAGTATTTAATTAATAGAAATTGCACTGAAGTCTATGGAGACAAGCGATTTTTTTAAAATAAAAATTCAGATAATAAGAATATCAATAACTACTGTGGTGGAAAGATCCATTAAATCATTAGAAATACAATGACAATTGAAAACAATTTTTTTACCGTATATTTTTTTAAAATTGATTTTTATTACTTAAAAAAAGAGGGAGATAACTCTACAACAAAGGTCAAGTCATAAATTAGGACACTTCCATTCTTACATGCTAATGGTAATAAATGTAGATTATGTCTAAATATACTGAGTATTCCACCCGTACACATCTGTTATGTATTCAAATTCATTGAATCTGAGGCTATTAGGGATGGAATTCCAGTACCTTATATTTTCATCAAAGACCAAGAGTCTTACTCAGACCAATGTAAGAGATTTCCACAAGGAATTAAAAGAGTACAGAAGCGCTGATAGTTTCTTAATATACTGTCTGGTGAGAGTGATAAATGGGGAACAGATTAGAACTTAATTTATGAACTGTTAATGAATACTAGACTAATTATTTTGTTAATCCTGATCACCCTATTTTTCTTGCTTTTGGGCAACAAAGCTTCACCTTTCAGTTCATTTTATACTCTATGGATCCTTTAAATTGTTGTATTATACTCAGGTGACCGTTAAGGCCCTTGGGCCTCTTGTTTAAAAATAGTTTTAATCAGTTTTATTAATATTTATTGATTTTTTATTTGTTGTACTATGAAAAAGTGCTGCAAATTGATTGAATCTGAATTTTTCAAAAGCATGTATTTTACTTACTTTGATATATGGTTACCATGGAAACGAGTTGGCTAATCATTGTAAAATTTTACCACAAATGATAAAACTGTTAAAGAAGTTTATTAACGCAAAAATCCCGAAATTTTTAAATTTTATAGTTTCCATCAATTACACTGAGGAAGCTTGATGATTCGTGATATTCTCTCTTAAAAAATTTTAAAGAGTAGATTGATAGGATAAGATTCTTATACTTTTTTCTTATTACTTTTAAGACACACTTTAATTTCATTTATTTATTTCAGGTGTCCCAGTCCATTGTGGAATGCCTCCCTACACCCCCTGCAGTGACGCTATTTACGGCTGACTTTGAGCGTGGTATAAGGAAGGGATTACAGGAGGTCTTCCCCGAGGCCAGGATCCGTGGTTGCGTGTTTCACTGGTCTAAGGCAGTGTACACCAAGGTCCAGGAGAATGGACTACAGGTAAAATATTAAAAAAATTATTATTTATATAATTAAATATATATTATATAATTTAAAAGTTTTTTAAACATATATATATATATATATATATATATATATATATATATATATATATATATATATATATGAAGATAGATGATATAAAAAAGGATATATAAAATTTCAAGACATAAGACACTCTTCAAATTTCAATCTCGGAACATTAATTTTGCTTTTATATTTTAATCAGGTTGCATACAGAGAGAGAGACGACGTCAACAAGTGTGTCCGGAAGTTGATGGCTCTCCCTTTCATCCCTGAGGAGCACTTCGTTCCTGCCTTCCAGAGGATAAGCAACTCCGTGGGGGAGGAGGGACCCTTGAGGGAAGTTGTTGACTATGTCCAACGGACATGGATCAACAACCGCACCTGGCCTGTGTCATCCTGGTGTACCTTCAACCAGTCCATCCGGACAAACAACGAGGTAATATTTTAAGGAAGTTTACACATGTTGATAAATTATAAAGTTTAAAAAATTCAATTTATATTAATTTAAAACTCTTTCTATCAGTTAATATTGTAAAATTTACTTCACATCTATACAATGTAATGAAATTTATAAATATAAATATATACTGTAATTATAATAATTTAAACATTACTTTTTCAGGTTGAAGGCTGGCACACCAGGATGAACATGCAGAAGGCCCAAGGGTCCCACAACCTGCCATTCTACGTCCTCCTAGACCTCCTGAGGAAGGAAGCTGACCTCCTCCCCCTGCAGAGACGCCTGGTCAGTGAGGGGAAGCTGCAGAGGCTGCAGAGGAAGTCCACCAGAAAGGTAACATGAATTTCAATTAATAATTGATATATTTTAAATTAATTTACAAATAAAGTGCCCAAATAGAGTATATAATTTAATTTAATCTTACCTTTTTAACTTTGTTTAAACATACTTTTGAATTATTTCATTACTTGATGAAGGATCTTACTTACGTGTCTTAATTTTCATATTAGGTCCAGGCCAGGACATTCCAGTTGTGGTCCACTTATGCCATGGGAGACATCTCCACATCTTCCCTTCTGAAGAAACTTGGCCGCCTGTACAGCCCCTTCTGAAATCTGACTGTGTTGTGACCAAAACTGAGTTGTGATTTAGTTTTGGTGCATTTTATCTGTGCTTCTAGTGACTGTGTTTTGTGACCAGTAGTGCCTGTAGTGAATTTAGTTTTAGTGTATTTTAGCTGTGCTTCTTGTGACTGTGTTTTATGAACAATAATTGACTTGAGTGGACTAGTCTAATAGTTCTTGTTACTTGTGCTTGTTTTATCTTACTTTTGTTTTGGTATGTAAATATTATTCAAATAAAAAATAAATAAGAAATTATATGTCTTTGTCTGTTTTCATTAATAAACCACAACAAAGAATGAAAGATGAGAAACGGCATCAAGACGGCACAAGAGAATAACAAAGGGAAAATTATGTTATATGAAGGAACCAAAATGACCATAATATTGAATAGAAAAGTATAATAAATAAGTAGTACTATAGAGAGTATATATAATGACATCATGTGTCAATATTCATATAACAAAATTATGTTCGACATACATTCCGGAAAATCTTGTCAACACATCAATCTGCGCATCGCATCGCGCATATGGTATATGGAAATTCAGAGGCATAAACTAGTTAAAAATGTACAGAAAACACATTTGTGTACGAGTTGACTTCTCAATTTTTTTGGAAACTATGGCAAATATTACCTTAAATCACATAGGAAAACGTATGTATGAGTTGTGTACGCGTTGACTTCTGGTTTGTATACGAGTTGACTTTTTTTGTGTACGAGTTGACTTTTGGTATACGAGTTGGTTTGTGTACGACTCGGTTTGTGTACGAAGTGACTGTAAATCTTTAGCAGGTAACGAACATACATCTTGACCTTATTTTAAGTAAAGACACATTTAGAACATTTATATCTGAAAACGCTGCCAAACAGAAAAAATAATGCCTACAAACATATTCATACAATCATTGTAGATGACGTTAGCGTGGTGAGTTCTCACTTGTTTATAGTTAACATAGTGAGCTGGTGAGTGCTCACTTTTTACAGTTATCCACAAACGCCTAACTGAGCTGAAGGACACAGCTAATAATCATCAAACAAGATTTGGTGTATTAAGTATTCTGTGTGTTTGTGACAAGCTGCAGCTAAAGCCGGTTTGTGAATCATACATTTCTCAACAAACATCTATGATTCCCTTCGTTCTATGGAAAACTTTGTTCAAGGAGGGATTCTTGTCTGGTTTCTGACTAGATGAAATATTCAAAGTATGTTTGCTTATATGTTTTATATATTTAGATGTAAGAGATTTAAAAGATCATATTTTTCTTTCCTCATCACAATTGTACAACTTTAAATAGAAATGGTAAACTGAGTTTGAAATCTAGCAGGGACTATATTTTTGGCGGAATGGCAGCGTATGAAAATTTCTTCTTTTCTGCCTCTCAAAATAATTATAGAACAATGAATTTAGTTATAATTTTTACACAATCAAAGACATGGAGAAAATTTTTAAATGTAAGATAAATTAATAATAAGGAACTAAAGTTTTAAAATATATCAAATAAATATGATTTTCCAAAAAACTACAATTTTGTTAGCTTTTAAAAGCTTCCAGTCTAAGTTCAGATTTGAGCCAAAAATCCGTAAAAAGTGTTTGTTCTCTCTTAGTAAACGGTCAAAACTTTTTGTTTTTATATCATTTTGTATCTTTATGTGACAACTTTACTATATGTGAAAATCAGAAAAATTTAAATATAGGAAGCATATAAAAATAACTAAAATATCTGAAAAGTTTAAGAAAAATAGAGAAAATTCGGATTAGCCATTATCCATTTTAGTGAAATTATTTATGTCAATTTGGTAATGTCATCTTATAGACCCTATATGGTAATATCACTTTATGCAAAAAGAAAAACATTTAATTCATTGAAATAGAAGTAGGCATCGCATGATTGGCAACAGTAATTTTTTATTCTTAATGTCCAGGGAAAAGGTACTGACCTTGCCTCTAATATAAAACGGTCAAATTTAATCTAACTGATACCATCACTTAGTGATATTGTCTTCTTGATTCTGTGAAAATTTCATGATAAGTGTTCTTATGAGAAGAATCCCTCCTTAAAGTCAAATTCTTAAAAAAAATTCAGACAATCTGAGGATAGTGTTTATGCATCATTGTTAATGTTAAACAGAGCAAGAGTTGGCATAATAACTGATGAAGATATAAAATTACTACAACATGAAGAGTGGCAAAGTGTAGTACATTTACATCCCACAAGTGCAGTACATTTATATCCCACAAGAGTAGTACATTTATATCCCACAAGAGTAGTACATTTATATCCCACAAGAGTAGTACATTTATATCCCACAAGAGTAGTACATTTATATCCCACAAGTGCAGTACATTTATATCCCACAAGAGCAGTACATTTATATCCCACAAGAGTAGTACATTTATATCCCACAAGAGTAGTACATTTATATCCCACAAGAGCAGTACATTTATATCCCACAAGAGTAGTACATTTATATCCCACAAGAGTAGTACATTTATATCCCACAAGAGTAGTACATTTATATCCCACAAGTGCAGTACATTTATATCCCACAAGAGCAGTACATTTATATCCCACAAGAGCAGTACATTTATATCCCACAAGAGTAGTACATTTATATCCCACAAGAGTAGTACATTTATATCCCACAAGAGTAGTACATTTATATCCCACAAGAGTAGTACATTTATATCCCACAAGAGTAGTACATTTATATCCCACAAGAGTAGTACATTTATATCCCACAAGTGCAGTACATTTATATCCCACAAGAGTAGTACATTTATATCCCACAAGAGTAGTACATTTATATCCCACAAGAGTAGTACATTTATATCCCACAAGAGCAGTACATTTATATCCCACAAGAGTAGTACATTTATATCCCACAAGAGCAGTACATTTATATCCCACAAGAGTAGTACATTTATATCTCACAAGTGCAGTACATTTATATCCCACAAGAGTAGTACATTTATATCCCACAAGAGTAGTACATTTATATCCCACAAGAGTAGTACATTTATATCCCACAAGAGTAGTACATTTATATCCCACAAGTGCAGTACATTTATATCCCACAAGAGTAGTACATTTATATCCCACAAGAGTAGTACATTTATATCCCAAAAGAAAATAATATGAACAGTATAATGATAACCAGTTGCTAAATATCACCGATTCTACCAATCCTGTTTTCAACGTTTCCAGTAAATATGTATTTCAGAGAAATGGTAATATGGACAATCTAAATAATTCTGTACCATCACATCTTCCTAAGGAAGATAGACAGTGTGGGAGTTAACAGTCTTAAAACTTCCTGTTGGCTCACGAGTGATGTTAATAAAAATATTAAGTCATTAGAGTACATGGGTAATGGGGCAACTGGCATAGTGACTGCATTCAAACTTAACTAGAACTGTCCAAAAGGGACAAATACCCCCGCTGGTTTTTACAGACGTACCAAATCACTAATATTTTATGGATCCAAGAGGTGATCACAATTTTCTTATTAACATTTAGAGTGAAAAAATAATTGCTCATTATATTTTTTAATGAATGAAACCAAGGAACAACCTAATAAAACATCAATACCAATACATTGTAATTATATTGTTTTTAATACATTGAAAAAATAAATTGCAACTATCTCCCTGTCATCTTTTTGAGACATGACATTCTGCAAATTGATTTTTGAAAAAAAATCAATTAATTACAAAATCAAATTAATCTTGATAACTTTATATCAAATTCGTTTTAAAAATGAAAGGTTGATCATCCAGTAATTATGTACTATGACAGACAATAAATTACAATTAAGAGAATTAAAGAACAGAGATCTTTAAATTCCCAGGAGATACAGATAACACATGCTTGATCAGACATGCCCTAACAACTTCCCACACTGAACTCATTAATTTATCCCTAACTGGATGATGTCCACTCATTACTCCCAAGGGACAAATGGATTTACACTATCTGCTGTGTAATGTAAAAGTTGTTTTTAATCCTTGGTGATTTTTTTTGTTTTAATAAATAGTTTTAAGCTGCAGATTGACATTTTTGTACAGATGTTCTAGATTCTGTATCTCAAACCTTAGAAATAAACCCAAAATGACTAAGTCAATAAAAATGAAAAAAAACCCTGTAAAATGCAGAAAAATTATCAAATAATGTTGAAAATACCAGGTGCACATCTTCATATGGTAAATAATGAGTGTACAAATTTTCATACAATTCTATGAAATAGACTTCGAGAAAAGGTCAGGACAAAACCACATAATAAAAATAACTTAAAAAACACCTGTAAAATGCAGAAAAATTATTCCATCGTGATGAAAATACCAGGTGCACACCATCATATGGTGAATAATAAGTGTACAAATTTTTAGACAAATCTATGCAATAGTTTCCGAGAAACGCTCTGGACGAAATTTTGTTTACAGACAGACGGACATGGTGATTCAATATACCCCCCTAAACTTCGTTAGCGGGGGGGGGGGTATAAAATGTTGAGCTATAACGCCCAGGAAATTAAAATCCAACAGAAACAATGATGAGTTTGATGATCCAAAACTTTGAACTATTTTTCAAAGTTCCATGAAACACCAGTCAATTGCTTTTTCAACAATTTCTTAATATTTTACTTTTAAAACAGGTCAAATAATCCTTCGAACACAGTTTCCACTAATTCAGTCTTGGGTAGTTACAATCCATAAAGCTCAAGGAATGACTCTGTAACGTGTTGTATTAGAC